GGCAGAGCTGGGGATTGAACTCAGGCCCTTGAGCTTGCCAGGCAAGTGCTTATTCAACTGAGCTATCACCCAGCCCCAAAATCCCCGGTTCTGAAAAAAAAAAAAAAAAAAAAAAAGATGTGTAAGAGGCACCTGGCGTCAGGAAGCCCTTTTGTGTAAAATATGGGTGAACATTGTCCATCTGTACTGAAATTATAACTGACTTTTCATGAGGTGCTTCATCTTATCTCATCCTTCCTGCAGCCAGGGATGAAGGGATGGAGAAACTGAGGCTCAAGAAGAGTAAAGGGCTTGTGTGGGCCCTTGGACGATTTTCCTGAGCTCATGTCCTCTTGAGAACACACAGCCTCATGTTTTATTTGCTTGTGTTTTGGATTTCCGGGGCAGAATCTCACTCACTGTGTAGTTCAGGTTTTGCACCTCATTATGTAGCTTAGGCTAGACTTGAACTCTTACTGATCATCCTGCTCTTGTGCTGGAATTACAGGCCTGCGCCACCACGCCCGGCTCAGCCTGGTGCTTGTGAAGTGTCTTTTCCTGGCCAAGTGAGGCAGGGGCTTCCTGGAGGCTGTACCGCAGAAGAATGTGGGAGGTTCTTGTCCTTGAGAAACATGGGGGAAATGTGGTCACAGAGCCATCTTGGACCAAGTTACACCGTGTCCTTTCCCACTGGGGACCTGTTTATATAGTTCCCAGAAGGGAGGAGTTTGTTGATGTTCGTGTTTATTGAGCTCCTTCTGGAGCCCAGGCCTGGTGGATGGGATGGGATGTAGTGGATGTGGGGGTGGCCGCGCCCCTGTCCTCACAAGGCTGGGAGTTGGGTGTTTTACAGTAAACTGAGGTGTTGCTGGGACCCCTTTTCCTCAGGCCCCATGTTTCTTCCTTTTTATTTTTGGTGCAGTGTTGGGGATCAAACTCAGAGCCTCTCGCCTGCTGGGCAGGCACTCTGCTGGCAGCCCCACCCCCACCCCCATTTCTTCTTTAAAATAGGCCATCTCGAAGTTGCTTTCTGCAGGAATGGCTTAGTATTCTGGGCTGGAATTTGTGAGATTCTGCAGAGGGAGGAGATCATTTTTTCTAGGATTAAATGATGCCATTCCACTGTCTGGGTTGGTATTTTTTCGTTTGTTGAATGGCTGGATTTGCCACCATCTCCAAGGTGTGGGAGTGGAGTCCTGACATAGGTGTCCTTTGCTGTGGCAGGTGGGGAATGTCCAGAGCTAAGCAGCCGCGGGGGCCGGCGTCAGCCGGACACAGGTTGTCTGGGGCGAGCCTGCTTTGGCGGTGGCAGCCTGGTTTGCAGCTGGCCACCCACATGCCGCCCTTTAGCATTAGTGCTCAGAGGCTTGGCAGGGTCATGCTGCCCTGAGGTCGGCGATGGGCTGGCTGCCCATTGCGCTGCTTGCTGTGGGCTTTGTGGACGTGACCCTGAGGTCGTTCGAGGCCCCACCCTGCCTG